CTCTTCATCCAGCTCTTGATCCTGCTAAGATAGCTTGTAGCTGGCTGTGTGGCAGCTTTTCTGGAAGATGGGTGTAAAGGTCTGAATTGCCTCAGATTGGGTGGACCTTGTATTTAAGAGGTGATTCTTGCAATTCAGAATTACCATAGAAGGAAATACTGCTCTTCATCCTTTACATAAAAATATAGTTATCACTGTGCTTCAGGTCCTTGTTTTGAATGACAAATTTATTCCTACAGCTAAGAAACACATCAGACAATTTGGGCATGCATAGTTCTATATTACAAATCACTGACTGAAAGCTATTTTTAAAGAAGTTTCTATACCATGCCCATCTAACTGTTCAGATGGCCAGTTTGAACCGAATCTGCAAAATTATTTCAGTAATAAAATAAAAAAACACCTCTTGTTGTTTTAAGATTTTTGGTAACATTAAGTCAAGAATGAAAGCAAAAAATACTGCAGTTCAGTAGTATACAACTGATAGCTATCTGAAGAGTACCATTAAATGGTAAGGCTGAGAGCTATGCATCTTAGAGCTGCTCTGTCCTTGTAGAAATAGACACCTCCCCTCTTTCTTACCACTTAGTGCTGCACTGAGTAAACATGCAACACAGGAGGAATTTTGTCCTGATTTCCCCTAGTCCTGGATGTTTACTTCACCTTGGAGTCTGTTAAAATACATCCATTCATGAAGATTATCTAGGCAGTTGACATTTTTTTTGCTTTACAGCAGTACAGCTGTACTCTCTTTCTCCACCTTCTGAAAGCATTTTCTTGCAGATCAGTTGAAAAACTCCTGGCAGTCAAAGACCAGTGCTCATAAGCTGAAATGAGAGCGCTGACTCTTGGTGACTGCAATATCCTAATCTTTGCTGCAGTAACAGAAAATGAAACCATCTGCTACTGCATGTTGTTAAGCTACACAGATTCTGCCAGAGTGAGTGTTTGAGGCAGAACTCCCTGGGGTTTGGGAGGACACAGAAGCTGCATTTCCACAGGGGTGGGTAGCACCACTGCAGGCCCTTGGGGAAACAGATGACTTCAGCATGTGGATTTGGCACAGTGACAGGCTAAATCATTTGGACACAGCTCATAAGGCACAAGTAGTGCCAGCAGTTGGACCACAATGGAAAAACCTTCCTAGCCCCATAAATGTTTGCGTGATCCCACATGTCTGTTTCACCTTACTTTAGATTCCTAACATACCAGGCTAAGAAAGTCAGAGAGACAGAGCCAAGAAAAAGCACTGCTTCCTTGCCTGTCAGGTACTGCAGATCAGCAGCCAACAAGGCAGTACAAAATGTAAGGCCAAAAGGACCAGACCTTTGTAAGAGTCTCTAGCAGATGCTTGTGTAACACCATGGTGTGGCAAACAGCTCATCTCTCTGATCTAAAATGAACACATGTAATGAATTCAGTGTTGGGTCTTAAGTTATAAGAAACTTGCTGTGCCTTCCCACACACATTGACACCTTCCTGGTTTCAGTCATCTCCCCAGCAGCCCTTGAACTAGTTTCCACAGACTTCACATAGCATCTCTAAAATGCTGTTGGAAAAGAGGTGGTAACACAAAGGAAGGAGCAATTATCACTATAATAAAGATAAGAAAAAACCCCCATCCTCTCCTCAATCAGTTATGTAAATAATCCTGCTAGGAAGAAAAACTCCAGGTAATATATGAACAGCAAAGTGACAGGAGGTACCTCCTGTAATGAGCAGTAGCAGATGTTACAGTTACATTTCCATACTAATCCCAAATTGCTTCCAGCATGGCAATGCTTATTTGACATTATACAGCAATAATAGTTTTTTTAAAAGTAATCTTCCATGATTTAGTCATCCTGAGTTTTAGCACAGCTACTTATTCCCAGCCACAGGAGCTCCCATGTGTTTTGTTCTATGACCCAACGAGGACTTCAAGAAGAGACTTTGTCACAGCTCATAACAGTTCAACTTTTTAAGACTTTCAGCCTTCTCTACACTCATATTCAACTGAGTTACACAGCAGCAGAGTAAGCTGAAATCACTACATGGCACTCTTCCTTGCACTCATATTCCACAGCCAGTTCAACATTGCAGCATCCCATCACCCGCCTTTTTAACAAGGAACTATTCCCTAGTCTCAGCAGACCCTCCTTCACTTGGGGGGACTTGAAAAGAGCTGCAGGTCTTCTCTGTTGGCCCTCTCTCACTCTGTTCAGCCTTCTAAAAATGTACACTAGGTACTTTAGTACAACATACTGTGGCGTAGAAACCTCAGGAATCATGCACTACAGCTACCTGGTCAAAAGGTGTGGGGTTGTTTTGTTGTTTTTTTTCCCTCCCCTACCCCATCTTCATGGAGTTGTCTGTTCTGTCCCTATCACTGTAACAAGCAACAACAGTCACACCTTTTTTTGAGCAAGATTTTGCTGCTTGGCTTTAGCTTTGTAAATTTAGCCTTGTGCTCCTAACTCCTCTGAGCAGCCCCAGTCACAATAAATTCCCCAACTTCTACACTGGTATAGGGCTTAGTGCACTAAGAAAATGCCATTTATCTAATTAGCAGCACTTACCTTCTGAATAAGATATTCCCCACCCCTTCCTCCAGAGCTAACTAGCTTACTGCATTTCTTTTTGTTTGCTTTATTGATGCTCTTGCTTTTATTTCCTCTTTGCTATCCACACCCACACCAGGCACATCAGATGCAGTAAGTCCCACCTGCAAGTTTTTTACACAGATTAGGTGATGGTCAATACTTTAAAGAGTCTTCTATGGATCTCCCATTCTCAAACTGGCCATGTTGAAGTTTTAAGTTAGGAAGTGGTTTAATGTGATTTTTTTTAAGATGCTTGAGTACCATGAATCAAAAAATACTGTTTTGATAGCCACAGTCCAAGCACGTAAAGCAGTTTAATTTTAAACCTTGGTTTGGATTTACCAGGGTTGTTAAAAGTTTAATATCAAAATAAAACTAATAACACTTTTTATAATTACTGTATCTGCTCAACATATAAAACACCTTCAAATAATTTAAAGTAAAAACATAATGGTAATGTAAACTTAATCTTGGATGATGGAAATACTACTACTTATGTTTAAAAGAGTAACCACTATTTCAAAATAAACATCTGGCACTTTTGCAAGTGTGGGGTTTTTTTCCCCTCTGTTCATTCAAAAACAGATCTCTCAGTGCATATATTAAGAATGTGATTTTCTTTCAGCATAATGTTGCTTATGGTCTATTCACTCCTATCAGGGCTACATACGTTGCTTTTTAAAGGATTTACTGCTTGAGTGTATGTTTAATCTTCCTAGAAAATGCTCAAAACAAGAATGAAAGGCTGCGATTTTTCTTTCTAAAAACATGTTTGGAATTATGTACTGCTACTTAGTGTGGTGCACCAAGTAATTGGGTACTGTTTGCATTTAGCAGGTATTTTTAGACAGCGAGGTAGAATGGGCCCACAGAAGTGATATACAATATGCAGATTTTAACAAGGCCCGGAACATGAAAGAAGGTCTGTCTAGCCAATAGATATTCTGCTTTTAATTTTAAAGGCCACAGGAACCATCATAAGGTTATATTTTAAAATTAAACTTCCAAAAATACAGAAAAACACCAGTTGGTACTTAAAAATAATTTCAGTAATGCTTTTGACTTTTTTCTTTGCTTGCAAAGGAAAACTAATTTTCAGTCTTTCAGTATTTCTGTGCCATTCTGTGTAAGTGAATGCTTGCCTCATTCACTGTGTACCTCATCATTAGGTTAGCAAGTTGTATCGTGTATTGTAGGCATCCAGTCAGTAGCAGCAACGTGCGGGAACACAGATTGCAAATAATAAAGAAGACTTTCAAAACGCATGAGTATTTTAAAAAATTTTATTTCATTTGTAATGAAACAACTGAGTTCTGCTCCAATTTATACAGTCAGTGAAATAATCCTATAAAATGATTTTTCTAGGACGTTACAAGGCACATAAATTACCAAATATAAACATAGAAAAGTAGCCAAAATAATGAACTAAGCCCCCATATGCCTTTAGCTGTTTTAAAGGTCTGTGAATGATTTACAAGAATGTGAATCACTCTGCTGACAGGGTAATGAATATTTCACATTTGGCGTGACCAACAAAATTAAAAATAACGGGAAGAAAAAGCTCGGATTCAGGAACAGTGTAGTGTTTTATGACTCAGGAGGGACTACCCTACTATCTTCTGAAGCTCCTCCTTGGGTCAAAGGGCTCTGCATCTTCTACTGCTTCCCTTCGTGGGTTGCAGAGTACATCACCCCCCTAGTACCTCTCCATTGTGTGACAGAGGAAGGGGCAACCTCTCAACTTCCCCGGCCTTCTATATTGGGCAACTTTGTAAAAAACAGGAAGGGTCTACATATAGATCTAGCACTGAGCATTGTCTTTAGCTTTAAAGAGTAGAAGGTGTGTGAGGGGGTTTCTTGGGCTTTATTTTAAAAAAGTAATTGCGTTGGGAAGTTGTTTGGCATGCAATAAGTCTATATTCTACTGGTTAAGAAAATCTTGCAACCCATAAAAATAGTCAATTTTTATTTCATTTCAAGAGGCATTACCAAATAATTTCCACAAATACTCGTTTTCCACCTGCATATATATTTTTCAACTAGCCTAACAGTCAAGGATTCAATGCAATAAGATTTTCATACAAATATAGTGTATTGCGTATTTTCTTCCGTTAACAGGATTCACTTCTTTATGTAACTAAGTATACATTCACATATTGAAGAGTAATAATTTGGCTAAAAATATATGTCTATTTCTTATCTGATTGTAGTAATTAGCCTATCAAGGGTAATTTGCTATAAAAGATACAGTACTAGAAATAAATATTTCTACAGTTCAAAGATCTTTAAAATGGGTTGCCATTTCCAGTCTGTCTTAAATTTTCCCAAGTCCTTTTAAAGCAGAAACTAAATTTACTACACTTAAGAAAATAATCTGGACCTACATACATAGAGTCCCAATCACATGAGAAGTGTATTTCACTTAATCTCCTTCTTGGTTTTGTAATGGGCAGAAACGACCAGATAATTGTCTGGATTCATGTCCCTGAGGGTTGGAGATTTGCTCTGGATTGGAGAAGTTTTGCCATCCACACGGGAGATCTGCAACATTCGGCATGGGTCGTGCTTCAGTAAGTAACCTGCAAAAGTCTCCCATCCTCCTCCAACACGAACCATCACATGTTTGTTGTGCAGCATCTGAAATTACATAGAAAGGAAAAAAAACCACAAAAACTCTTGAAAGTGAGCCATTCACTGGGAGATCACATTTTTTCTACTGAAAAAAGCTATGCATACTTTAATTAGAAGTCACAGACAAATGTTAGTAGTCTGCTTTATAATAAAAGGAAAGGAAAAGAAATAGTAGAATGTTTTTTATTCAAATTCAATAAGTACATTTTAAAAATGTAAGAAAATTAGATCATATTTAAAACGAAAGTTTTTCACATTTTATGCAAACAAAGCTACATGTTTTTCTAGTTCTGTAGTACTGAGTGATCCTGTTCTTCATGTGTTCAGTATAAACAAGTTAGGGAACATGAATGTTTTTCAGATTAATTTGTTGAAAATGTGTTAGTAAAGACAACATTTTATATGTCTTGAAACTGGCATATCTTCATAGGATAGGGAACTATAGCAAAGGAGCAGTGAAGGACAACCAACCAAAACAATCACGTCTATCTCCTAAAATACCAAAATAATTATTTAAGAAAAGGAAGTACCATTTAGTTTAACAATTTAGTATTGCTGACATATATTCTAACCAAAATAGTGTAATACTGTAATTAAACTAGTCTAATGAGGGACATGATAAAAAATATATCTGGAACTGTGTGGAGATACTTGAATTTATGCTGAGTTGTGACAGAAAATATGAAAAAAGTTGGTGGGCTCTTACTAGTGGGAAAGCTCAGTACTGCTTATGCTTGCTGCTTTTATTTCAGAAACACTGGGGCTTGACCTGCAAAGTAATTTGAGGTTGAAAGGCGTATCTAACTGCCAAATTAGGTACCTATCTCTACTGTATATCCTCAAGATCCACACCCATTTTCTGCTTAAACTCAAATAAAATTTTTCACCAGGTACCAATGGAACTTCTCCCATGTCTGCACCTGGGAGTTCAGTTGGCAATTTCCCTGTCATTGCTCTCCTCTGGTTCTCCACGCAGAACAGTCAAATAAATCACAGTGAAGCATCATAAAGCAGCATATTCTATAGAAGCCACATCATAAATCACTCAGTGAAAAATGCTTTGATTAGTACATCTCATGAAACATTAAACATCATTTAGCCATAGCGCCAGAAATTACAAATTTGGCCTGTAAAAGGAATGCTAGAAGATGTTTAACACAGTCTGGGAATTGGCATTGGGATTTATGGCAGTGATGCATATGTGGGCTCTTCTACATGTCCAAAACTCCCTTGAGGGTTGACAGGATTTGCAGTTGAGAATTATAATGCACATAAGTGTTTTGTAACATAGCACAATTCACATTAGTGCACAGAGCATAGACAACAAAACAAAAAAACTTCTCAATGAAATAAAATCACAGATAACAAAAGGCAAAAATGTAACTTAAAAAAACCACCAACCAACCAACACCTCACCCTCAGCCTAAAAATATGTTGTTTGACTTCTGTTATATAAGGAGACAGATACACCTGGAATTTGTAAAGCACGGAAAGCTGTACAACTTTACAAAAACTTTGAAAATCATGGTCAGTTTATAAGGAATCAATCTCTTCATTTGAATAAGCAGCTGCAGATGAAATCTTCTTTGAAAGTTTTCGTTTAAAACATTTTAATGCAAGGGAAGTAATTGATCTTGCTTCTGGAATTTTGATTTTTATGTGAAAGTGGAAAGTCAATTCAGCTTTACAGATACTGAAAAATAAAGTTACTTCTGATCCATCCCAATGAGAGCACACTCAGGTACTCTTAGTTTAATGAACAACTCTCAGCTACTGAACCTGCCTGTGCTGTTGCTCTGGGTTGCAAGAGCAAGTTTTTCTCTAGATTTACATGGATATGAAAGCAGAGTCAGACTCGTATCTTCACCAATCACACTTTTTCTTTTTCCCCTCCAGCTTTGTGTTTTAGTTTCAAGACTTCATTTTAAACTGACAATGGTATGACCAGCAGTATGAGATTTGAATTAAGTCTTTAGTCTGGACAATATATCATGAAAGAAGCAAATCTTTTTTACATCAAGTTTGAAAACTGCAGTTCAAATGGTGACACAGCCTGGAGACAAAAGAGTCTACAGAATTTTATTTTGCAACTTCCTCCTCTTTGAATGTCTAAAAAGCATTTGAGAAACACCCCAAAAACTTTTCACATAAAAGCATTTTAAGCCCAACTTCTGTCCACTACAACCCGTGATGCTGCTGTGGGAAGGAGTTAACTATTGCTGAATTTCAGCTTCCACATATTGTCATGGGGCGTTCACATTCCAAGCGCAGCTAGGGTCTGGACTTCTGATTAAGAGTTAGGAATGGAAAGTTAGCAAAAAGTGTATTTGGTTCAATTTCCCTTAGGGACTACTGTACAGACAAATAAAACCTACTGCTGGTATGTTATTTCCTGATGCTCAGGTTAAACGTACATCTTCTCTTTCCCCTCTTTATTTCTTTCTCTTTGTATTACTATGCTACTATAAAAATCATTGCTTGCTTTCTATAGAGACTGGGTTTTCCTACATTCTAAATATAGTCATTGTTCATGCTGCACTGTGCCTCAAAAGCCCCATTTTACTCCTACAGCCATATTTTGATTTTAGTAACACCTGCACAAATCCAGAGTAATTCTGCTAGCTTCAGAATTGCTTCAGGTTCACAGAAGTATAAAGTATTTCTCAGAAAAAACAACCAACAAACAAAACTTGTTCTACTGAAAAGGCAGTTTCCTTCCCAACATACTTCAACTGAAGATGAAACTTTTGAGATTTTTATGATCCACTCAGTGCAGCTTTTTCACTGCATGAGATCTCTGAGAAAGAAAAAGCTGGACTCTACAATAATAAAGTTTATTAGCCAGTGTACATCAATTTTTATTTACATCAATGTAAATAAATTATGACATCCATCTCTTTTCACACTGCTATTCAGCCAATTGAAACTGAGAAAACCCTTTCTGTAAAATAAAATCTAACATATGTTTACGATTGCTGTAAATCATCATTATTTCTGTTGTGTCTGAAGCAGGGCTGTCACTAAAGCTGTTCCCTCTAGAATCTGTGTTTAAGTTAAAATGGTTGGATCTATGGTGAAGCAAACACATGAGAAACCAGATGACCAGACAACAGCATCACAGAGGAGGAATTATAGATTGGTTTTGGTATGCATTAAGGCTGTATGAAGAGATAACTTGAAAAATAGCCAAAGTTAGGTGATCTAAGCTGTCATTGCATAGGACTTTGGCATCAAAGTGTAATACAGTGTAAATAATTCTGCTTTTCACATAAATAAGTTTAGAGATCTTTATGGCTTATTAAAGAGATAATTGTATGTAAAGATATTAAGCTCATCTAAATGAGCATAGTTTTACTGCCTTGAAAAAAAAAATATATTTTTTATAGGAACTAGAAATCTGGCCCAACATTGATATTTTTCAGATTCTAACTTTTTAAAAGAATATTTCAGGGAAGGGAGGGGAAGCAAGGGGAAGAACTACACACTATGGATCTGATCCAAATACTGCAGAAGCCAACAGAAAGAACCCTACTGACTCAAAAGGAACTTGGGCTGGACTCTGGAAGCCAAACACAGCATCCTAAAGCAAATCATAGCCTGGAATTAGTCAGTGTGATTTTAGGCCAACTTCAGACACGATGTAGGCTACATACTGAGAGAATATTGACTATAAAGTCCAAAAGTATTTGGCAAAATAATGCAGTGCATCACACCAGTGGCTGTGTAAAGAAAATGTTGCACTCCAAAAGTGTAACTTGAATGAGATTGGGAAAGAGAAGGATTGAATAAAATCTATTAATTTTTACTGAATATGAGCCACTTAGACTCATTGTCATCAGCAGACATAGCCCTTTCTTCTCGTATCTTAGCATTTAGGGGATCTTCTCTGAGAGGTGTTCAGCCCTTGACATGGGGTTCTAGATCAATGTATTTTCACACTGACTCCGGAGACATCACTGGTCAATGCTAAGGAAATGCCAGTGTTGTTAAGACTTAACCACATTACTGGGTCACACCACTACCCATAGCAAGCTGCAATATCTCACTGCAGGCTTCAAGGCTTGAGGTAAGTACACACACAAACAGAGGGTGCACTCAGACATGGCATCTCTATGATTGTGCTGCAACCCCAGCTGATGCTACTTAGGAATTATTTTGCTCCAGCTTCTCTGTACCATTTACATTGATTATCTACCCGCCTATCTATGCAAAAAAACCCACAAAAAACCCCAAACAAACAAAAAACTAAACAACAAAAAAAGGCTTTCTCAAATATCAATATTATTCACTAACCATTCTTAGTAAAATGAAGGTGAGAGCAGGGTACAAAACTTGGACCAGGAACAGGATCCAGGAAGTTCCCCGGCGAGTCTCTGAGTCTGTATCTAGAATATGATATTGGCAAGTAATGACAAATTGTTCCACAGGGCCTAGCTCATGTGGAGATTTTCAAGGAGTAGGACACTTCTCCCATACATGAGAGTGTGGTCTCCCTCAGCATCTTTTAGTTGTGACCTGAACTGATGTTAGGAGAGAACTTGCAGTCTGTGGCTGTGTATGTGTGTGGCAGAAGGTGAAGTCTTCTTGGAATTTGGTGGGCATATCTATATGGAAGAGGAAAAACTATTATTTGGGGACTTGAGACACTACTGCTTCAGAGGACAAGGCTTGTGTCATCAAGTGTCAAAATTTTATTCTTTCATATGGCAAAAATTCTTAATGGTAAAGCTCTAAAGCCAGCAAAATTAATCCTAAAATTCCCCAGCAATTCCAATCTTTAGCAGTTACCTAGGTCCTCTTGAAGGTAGCCACTAAAATTCTCACATCTATCATTTAATGTGGAGCCAGGTGGGGCCCTGAGAAAGACTCTTTGAAAGACTGGCAATGTGCAGAGAAGGCTGTCTAGCTGTACGCCTTCACAGAAGCTCCGATGACATTAGTTCAACATCCCGTCACCAAAACACACAACAGTTCACATTAGCGGGTAATGCTGATACTCCATTCAA